GGGCGCTCCAGGAGGCCCGATCCCGCCATGGGGGGTTGCGGTCCAGGCCAGGGAGCCCCCGGCCCTGTAGCCCGGTGTGTATATATATATATATATATATGTATACATACATACATACATACATACATACATACATACATACATACATACATACATACATACATACATACATACGTACCTACGTACCTACCTACCTACCTACCTACCTACCTACATACATACATACATACATACATACATACGTACATACCTACATACAGACATACATGCATACATGCATACATGCATACAGGCATACCTGCATACATACATACATACATACATCCATAAGTACACACATACACACATACACACATACATACATACATACATACATACATACATACATACATGCATGCATGCATGCATGCATGCATGCATGCATGCATACATACACACATACATACATGCACGCATTCACGCATGCATGCATGCATACATGCATGCATGCATGCATGGGAGTTTGACGTAGCTTCTCGGGAGCCTCTGAACCTGTCGGGGGCCTCCTGGAAGCAGGTTCGAAGCATTTTGGGGGCCGATTTGGGGCTTCGCGGGGCCTCCTTTGGGCCTCTTGGGGGTCTCCTGGGGCCTCTTGAGGGTCCTCCTTGGGGCCTCCTGGCGTCCTCTTGGGGCGGAAGGCTCGAGCTTGCGGTTCGTGGTTCCCCTCTGGGCCCCCTCTTGGGCCCGTTTCGGGGCCCTCTTGGGCCATCTTGGGCACCTCTTGGGCCGCTTTGGGGCCCTCTTGGGCTGTCCTGGTGCCCTCTTGGAAGCTTCTTGGGCCGTCTTGGGGCGGTCTTGGGCGCCTCGTGGGCCGTCCTGTAACGTCGGAAAGCCCAAAAGACAACTTTGTTAAAAATGTACGTTTTACGAAGGGAATGGGTCAATTTTTGCGTCTAGGGGCCCTCTTGGGACGCATGTTGGAGGCTTCTTGGGGCGTCTTGGGGGCGTCCTTGGACGTCTCCTTGGACGTCTGGGGTCTCCTGGGGCCTCTTGAGGGGCCTCCTGGGGGCCTCCTGGCGGCCTCTTGGGGCGGAAGGCTCGAGCTTGCGGTTCGTGGTCCCCCTCTGGGCCCCCTCTTGGGCCCGTCTTGGGGCCCTCTTGGGCCATCTTGGGCGCCTCTTGGGCCGTCTTGGGGCCCTCTTGGGCTGTCCTGGGGCCCTCTTGGAAGCTTCTTGGGCCGTCTTGGGGCGGTCTTGGGCGCCTCTTGGGCCGTCCTGTAACGTCGGAAAGCCCAAAAGGCGACTTTGTGAAAAACGTACGTTTTACGAAGGGAATGGGTCAATTTTTGCGTCTAGGGGCCCTCTTGGGACGCATGTTGGAGGCTTCTTGGGGCGTCTTGGGGGCGTCCTTGGACGTCTGGGGTCTCCTGGGGCCTCTTGAGGGGCCTCCTGGGGGCCTCCTGGCGGCCTCTTGGGGCGGAAGGCTCGAGCTTGCGGTTCGTGGTCCCCCTCTGGGCCCCCTCTTGGGCCCGTCTTGGGGCCCTCTTGGGCCATCTTGGGCGCCTCTTGGGCCGTCTTGGGGCCCTCTTGGGCTGTCCTGGGGCCCTCTTGGAAGCTTCTTGGGCCGTCTTGGGGCGGTCTTGGGCGCCTCTTGGGCCGTCCTGTAACGTCGGAAAGCCCAAAAGACAACTTTGTTGAAAATGTACGTTTTACGAAGGGAATGGGCCAATTTTTGCATCTAGGGGCCCTCTTGGGACGCATGTTGGAGGCTTCTTGGGGCCTCTTGGGGGCGTCCTTGGACGTCTGGGGTCTCCTGGGGCCTCTTGAGGGGCCTCCTGGGGGCCTCCTGGCGGCCTCTTGGGGCGGAAGGCTCGAGCTTGCGGTTCGTGGTCCCCCTCTGGGCCCCCTCTTGGGCCCGTCTTGGGGCCCTCTTGGGCCATCTTGGGCGCCTCTTGGGCCGTCTTGGGGCCCTCTTGGGCTGTCCTGGGGCCCTCTGGGAAACTTCTTGGGCGGTCTTGGGGCGGTCTTGGGCGCCTCTTGGGCCGTCCTGTAACGTCGGAAAGCCCAAAAGGCGACTTTGTTAAAAATGTACGTTTTACGAAGGGAATGGGCCAATTCTTGCGTCTAGGGGCCCTCTTGGGACGCATGTTGGAGGCTTCTTGGAGCCTCTTGGGGGCGTCCTTGGACGTCTGGGGTCTCCTGGGGCCTCTTGAGGGGCCTCCTGGGGGCCTCCTGGCGGCCTCTTGGGGCGGAAGGCTCGAGCTTGCGGTTCGTGGTCCCCCTCTGGGCCCCCTCTTGGGCCCGTCTTGGGGCCCTCTTGGGCCATCTTGGGCGCCTCTTGGGCCGTCTTGGGGCCCTCTTGGGCTGTCCTGGGGCACTCTTGGGAGCTTCTTGGGCCGTCTTGGGGCGGTCTTGGGCGCCTCTTGGGCCGTCCTGTAATGTCGGAAAGCCCAAAAGGCAACTTTGTGAAAAATGTACGTTTTACGAAGGGAATGGGCCAATTGTTGCGTCTAGGGGCCCTCTTGGGACGCATGTTGGAGGCTTCTTGGGGCGTCTTGGGGGGCGTCCTTGGACGTCTGGAGGCCATCTTCAGCATCTCGGAGCCCTCTTGGAGGCCTCTTGGAAGTTTCTTGGGCCGTCTTGGGCGTTTCTGGGGCCGTCTTGTCTGACCGGGGAGGCCTCCGGCAAGCCCCGACGAGCCTCCGGGCCCCCCGGGGTGCACATTTGCGGTCGGGGTCCCGGCCCCGGCCCCCGGACCCGGTGCGCCGTTATATGTATAAAAAATGGTCGTTTTCCAAAGGAAAATCAATGATTTTGACCTCTTGGGGCCCTCTTGGGACGCCCCTTGGGCGTCTCTTGGGGGCCTCTTGGGGGTCTCTTGGGCCGTCTTGGGCGGTCTTGGGCTCTCTTGGAGCGCTCTTGGACCGTCTTGGGGGGGAACCCGAAAACCATGCCAAAACCAAAGAGGAAACCCGAAACCGGCCATTACCAACCCTGCGTCTCCGCCTCGCCCCCCCTCTGCACTATAGAACGTCATCACTCGTACCTCGCTCTTTCCGTCACCCCCACCCCCAATAAGTAAAACAAAATATTGCTTCGGCGACGTCGTTGACGGACTGGTATCTAACCAACAGACGGACACTATTCTTTCCCCCGTGGCACCCACCAGCAGCGCTTCCATGGAAACTTTATCCCGAAAGCTCCACTCTGAGAAGGATGCGCGGTAAGGATGCAAGGGCATTGGAAAGCCATCTCGACAATTTGCGAGCTGGACGCGGCCAACGAAAGCGGCGAAGGATGGACCGAACGGGAAGGATGCCAGGGCAATCTTGGAGAATTGCTCATCCTTATTATGCGGGCTGACTGTATTGTCTACGTCCAAGCACGGTAAACTGTACCCGAAAGGCCCTGGCAATGTGGACGCGAAGGGGCCCGTGTGATGCCCCTGGCGGCTCCGCCTGGGGAGGCCCGAGAGCCTCGCCTGCTACATCGCGACGCTCCTGGACTCGGAAAAAAACAGCATCTGCATACAAACACGGTGCGAATTCTTGAGAATCATAACATCTACATCCAACAATTCCAGCGAATCCCTTGCTCTGGAAGAATAACATCAGCATCTAAAGCAAATACCTGAGAATCCCAACCTATCTGGACGCGAATTGTTCCGTTTACCACCCCTGGGCGGCTCCAACGTGCCATGCCTGCTACATCGCGACGCTCATGAGGATCTGGAAGAAGAACGTCGACATCCGAGCACGGAAGTCTTACCCGAGAGGTCCTGCCAATCTGGACGCGCACCAGCCCGCTTAACACCCCCTGGCTGCTCCCTGGGAGGTTCAAGTGCAGTGCCTGCTACATCGACGCCCATGAGGCTCTGAGGACAAGTATTGACTACATCCAAACATCGTAGTCTTACAGGAGAATTCCTGGCAATATGGAAGCGAACCGGACCGTTGAATAACCTGGCGGCTCACCCTTGGGATGCCCAAGTGCCACGCCTGCTACATCGACACGCCCATGATGCGCTGAGGAAGAAAGGGCGTCTGCAGTGAAACAAACAGAGACCCACAACTATAGACGCGAAGGGGGCCCATGTGATACCCCCTGGCGGCTCCCGCTCGGGAGGCTCAAGTGCCATGCCTGCTACGTCGCGACGCCCACGGGGCGCAGCACATCTGAGGATTCCCCTCTCCTGTCCTCGTCTTCCCCCCCGCGTGTCTTTGCCGTTTCTTGCGGCTCGACGTCATAATGCGCTCAATCTCTCTGCTTCATCATCGTGATACACGCCGCTGCCTGCTTCACAGTCGTGGGGCGCTCCGTGTTCTCGCTTTCTGTTGCGACTTTCCGGAAGCGTTGCCAATCGCGGGCAGTCCGCCCACGCTTCCTTCCGGATGCATGCCTCTGTGGTGGTGGTGACCTTCCTTCGAACATCACACCAACCTGGACGCACGCCAACTGGCCGCCTACCTCGGGGGAGGCTCACATAGAAGTCCTGCTACATCGCGACGCCCATGCGGCTCTGACAAAGTACTTGCCTGCTTCAAGAAACGCAGTTCTACCTAAGAGGCCCCGCCAATCTGGACGCGAACGGCCCCGTTTAGTACCCAATTGGGAGACAAGAGTGCCTGCTACATTACATCTGGGCGATGATAGGGCTGCAAATACAAATGAGACTACCCTCAAGCATGGCGATTCTACCTTAGAGGTCCCGAATGTCTGGACGCGCCCACCTGGGAGACTTCAACTCAATGCAGTAAGTTAAGAATATGAATGAAGCTCGGTGCGAGTGAGTCTGAGTATGGTAAGGCTGAGCGCATCTGAGTCTCAGCATGAGCGAGTCTGATACTGACTATAAGCAGGTCTGGGTATGAGAGCGTCTTGGAAGGAGTGGGTTTGTCTGGGGGTGGGGTCTAAGTATGAGCGGTCTAGTGTGAATCAGTCTGCGAGGGTAGGTTTGTATGTGAGTGAGCCTGAATGTGGGTCTGGAAATGACTAAGTCTAAGAATGAGTGCGTGTGTCAACGGGTCGCAGAGTGTGGGCGAAGGAGGGAGGTGGCGAAGGAGAGAGGCGGCGTGAAGGCGTTACACTGACCACAATGACCACATACTTCAGGGCATGGGGAAAAGAACGTGATTATATGCTTTCTCCTGATCGCTCGAAACGAGTCTTCTCGCGAAGATGTGTCCAGCTGAAACGCGCAGTGTTCTCAGCGTCAAATTTTCCCAAAAAGCCATGCACGGAATTACCTGTCATTGAGTTGATGTGTTTGCCTCATGATGATGCCGCCCATTTTATGATACTGCTCTCTTGAAGCAGCCCAACTTCGTACTGGCCGGTGCGGCTACTAATCACAACGCTGCATTCAGAGTCGCATCGATCGCAACATCTGAATATTCATCAGACGAGGGGCAAGGATATCGGTGTCCACACCTTCCCCATCCAGAATATTGAACGGATGCTCGGGCAACACGCCTTAGGAAACATTCACCAGCAGCCTGCCGCCGAAAGATGTGCGGTTGACAGCACGCCCGAACCGCCCGAGCAAGCAAGGCCATGACGTGGCTATGGGGCACACAAACGAGGTAGAGAGAAACGGGAGCTCAGACTCGAGGGTGACGATGGGGGCGAATAGCCAAGGGGAGAACAATGCATGCATCTAGGGGCGCCGATGGTCCAGGACGCACCCCAAGAGAGGTCTGGGGAGTAGCGGCATCGGCACATTTTTTCTCCCCCAACGGTGTGGCTGAAATTTAGCAGTTTTAGTGGGTACGCGGCCTCATGGGGGGCATTCGGGTGGCATCTCGAAAACCTCGGTGGAGACAGGCTGAAAATCGTTAAGGAAGATATGGGGGTCGCCTTGGGCGTGGTGGTTCCACCGTTCTTTTTCCGAACAGGCTCGGTAGAAGCATCTTCGGGCCGACTGAGCGGGAGAACGCGACGAGTAAGAGCAAGAGCAGCGGGAGTAGGAGCATGAGCACCATGAGTAGGATGGGTGGCGTCATCCAAACCCTACCCCCACCAACCATCGATTCTTCCGAATCGATGGGAGGCGGGGGTAGGCTTCGGATTTCGCCAAGTGCTCGACGAATTCCGAACCCTACCACCGCCGCCCAGCGAGTTGCCTGGATCGTGGATCGGTGAGGGTAGGGTTTGGATTTCGCCGCCGATCGGAATACCAAGAATGCGAGCAAAACCAGAAGATGACGACGACACGAAGAGACTCACGTCTACCTCAGAGGGTAGTGACCATATCTAATGTTGCATCCTCGGGTGACCTTGTCTGTCCCGTCGCGGCCCTATTCGCGTCGAATACGTGTCGAATCTATGTTGGACTCGTCACCTCCGTGTCGAACCCGTGTCGACTCCGCGTCGAATCGACGCCAAATCTGCGTCGAGTCCGCATGGAGCACAAGAGAAGACACCAGGTTGGGGGACAGGCGAGGGCCCCCGAAGATGCAAACTGACACATCGATGTGGTTGCGGAAGTGAGAAGGTGCGGATAGCCGCCCGGATCCCACTCCCCGCGTGGGAGGGCGGGAAGGTCGCGTCGCCAGTGTGGCTTGACGCGGCCGCGCTTCCCGCTGCCCCTCCCTCCCTCCCCTCGCTCTCCCCCGCCCAAATCCTCCTCTATCTCCGTGAATTGTATACTGTATATAGATATGATCCTCCCCTCTGTTGGTCAATCTCCCCCGGTCACCTGGATGCCGCCCGCTTGTGTGTGCTCGCTCGCTGCTCCTCCCCCTGTACTTGTGCGACTGGGACCTCGTTCTCATACTGCAGCCTGCGCCTCAGCCCCTGGGTGTGGCCGCGATGCCGCCCCGCGTCCACTGCCAGGCAGCGTCAGCACAGGCTGGCCGCCCGGTCACTCCAGTCGAGATGTTCCGCGCTGTGGGTGTCCTCCTTCCTCATGCTCTCCCTCCGCGGTCATGCTCCGCCCTTGTCTCCTCTCTTGCCGCCAGACAATTCGTGCCTGCCATGGCCTGGCCACGAGAGCGCGCGTGCGGATTGCCTCCGCCGCGCTGCGACGAAAAACATGAGGGTCAACGCAAGAGGGGGACTGGCTCAAGGAGGGGGCATCAACCATTACTCGATGATGTATCGCCGATAGATCGGCGATAAGCTTTACCTACGAAGCAAAATAATCATATCTGCGGAAAGATGCAAACCTCTCACAGCCCGCAATTGCACTGGCCCTCGCCAGCACACGCCCGAGGCACAGAATCTCCTACAGGCGCGGCTGGCTAGCCCAAGAAGGCCCCAAAATGTATCCAAGACGGGCCGGCATGCACCAAAGATGACCCTCAATAGGCCCAAGATCGCCCAAGACAGCCCAAGAAGCCTCCAAGACTGCCCGAGAGGCCTCCGACCGGACCTCCAGGAGGGCCCGACGAGGTCTGAACTGATGTCCCTATAGGTTTTGCTACGGAGTCTGGCGTAAGCTCATTTTGAGTTGCCCGACGGCAAGGGCCACCAAGATGGCTCCAAGAGAGCCCATGAGCCCTGCGAGATGGCCCCTGACGGCCCCAAAGAGGCCCCCAACACGGCTCCAAGATGGCTGCAAGACGGCCAAGATGGCCATGATGGCCTCGAAGATGGCCCTGAAGCTCCCCAAGCGGGCCCCAAACTGACCCAGAGAGGCCCCCAAGACGCGTCCGACAACGTCAGACGGGCCAGGACCGCCCTCATACGGCCAAAATGCCTCCCGAGGAGCCTCCCAAGGCCCCTAAGAGGCTCAAGGAAGCCCCCAAGAGGCCTCCAACAGGCCCCTAGGAGGCTCCCAGGAGGCCCCAAGAGTTCCCCAGGAGGCTCCCAAAATTTCCCATCACCGGCTCCCATCATCGTCTTCCCAACCCGAGAAGACCCATACACTTCCCAGGTCCACGGTCTTCCCGCTCCAAACGGCCTCAAGATGGCGTCGAAGACGGCCAACATTGTCTCCAAGACAGCTACGATGGCCCCAAGAGAGCCCAAGCTGGCCCCACGATGTCTCCGAGACCGACCGGGATACCCGAAAGATGTGCCCAGATGGCCTCTAGATCGGCCAAGACGGCCCAAGAGGCCTCCAAGACGACCCCAAGGACCTCCCAGAGGACATCCAGGAGGGCCCGACGAGGTCAAATTTATTGATGCTCCTAAGGTGTCTGACGGATTCTGGCGTTTGCTCATTTTTGGTTGCCTGACGGTCCAATACGGTCTCATGGGCCACCAAGATGACTCCAAGAGCGTCCAGGAGGCCTCCGAGATTGCCCCCTGAGGGCCCCAAAGAGGCCCCCAAGATGGCTCCAAGAAGGCTGCCAGACGGCCGAGGTAAACTCCAAGACGCCCAAGATGGCCCTGAAGCTCCCCAAGCGGGCCCCAAGTCGGCCCAGGTAGGCCCCCCAGATGGTGTCCGACAGCGTCAGATGGGCCAGGACCACCGTCAAACGACCAGAGTGCCTCCCGAGGAGCCTCCCAAGGCCCCCAAGAGGCCCAAGGAAGCAGCCAAGTGGCTTCCAACAGGCCCCCAGTTTGATTTTCTCCCCCACGCAGGGTTTCCACAACGGCTGGGGCAGCACACAGCTCCATAGTTTGGCCTAGCTCTGGTCGCAACGATCGGCCGCATAGGCGCTCCCAAAAGACAGGGGGCCGCGTGATTCGCCGGAGGAGTCTTCGATCCGCCGCTGCCTTTGCGTACCACCTGTGGCTTGCCACAATGGTGGACGGCGTACCAGACTTGTCCCGATCCGATGGGGTCCCGCCCAGGTCAATGGTCTTCCAGCTCCAGACGGCCCCACGATGGCCTCAAAGCCAGCCAATATGGCCTCCAAGACTGTTCAAAGACGCCTCCAAGACGGCCACGATGGCCCCAAGACTTCTCAAGATGTCCTTCAGACGGCCCAAGAAACTACCAAGACGCCCAAAGACGGCTCCAAGGGGACATTCAGGAGAAAAAAATCACTGAGGCTCCTGAAGTACGTCATTGAGTTTAGCGCCTTCTCGCCTTTTCGGGCTTCCGACGCCCCCAGAGCCCCACAAACCACAAAGATCACCCCAAAACGGCCCAAGAGGCCCCCCGAAGAGGCCCGCAATACGGCCCAAGAGGGCCACAAAAGGCCGCCAAGACGGCCCGATCGACCTCCAAGACGGCCCTAAAGCGCCCAATGTGGGACACATGATTACCCAGAGTGAGCCCCGAGACGGCCTCCGAAAGACAAGAGGTCTCTTGGAGGCCCCCTAAGGCCCCCAACAGACCCCAAATATGCCCTAGGATACAAACAAAAGGCCCCTCAGAGTTCATCCTGATCCTCCCTCATTTCCTCAACCAACTTCTCCTCCCTTTCTACATCCTTTTTCTTCCTCTCCCAAGTGTTTCCCTAAGGGGGTCCACAATGGCATGGGGAACCCATAGTCCAATATCTTGGCCAGACTTTGGCCCAACGTATGGCCCCGAAGGCATGTAACAGCGGTGTTTCGCAGTAGGCGTATTCGATCCGCCGCCCCCTTTGCTTGCAAAGGTGTGTTTGGCGCATCGAGGCTTGATACTTTCCGGTCATTCCCACAGGTTCCCAGTGGCCGCCAGCCTACTTGCCGACCACCAGGCCACATGGAAACCATCTACAAGACAGCACAAGAAGGCCCCAGACGGCCCAGGAGGCTTCGAAGACGCCCGCAAAACGGCCCAAGATGCATCACAGAGACCACCCCGGAAGGCTAAAATCGCTGAGACAGACCAAAATGAGTATTCTACATATTAGCGTTAACGCTTTTGGGGTCACCGACAGCTGGAGAAGGCGTAGTTGATCCCAAAGTGGGCCTTAACACGGCCACAAAGGCTTCCAAGAGGAGGCCCCTCATACCCAAGTGGCCCCCTGGAAGCGCCCCTGGATATCCCAAGAGAGTCCCAAGTGGCCTCCTGCTCCTCCTCCTCCTTCTCCTCGACCTCATTATCTTCGTTCTCCTACTCTTCTCTTCCTGCCCCCAAGTATTTCTATTCCCCCCAAGGGTTTCCACAACGGCTGGAGTAACACAGACCAATAGCTTGGCCAGGCTTTGGCCCAACTTGTGTCAACATGTGCGCTTGCAGATGGGCAAGAGGTAACCGCGTCCCGCCGCATGATACTGCCGGTGTTTGCGATGGAGACCGTCTGAGGTCCGACTCGCGAAAGGGAACTGAGCGAACTAGCCGCGGGGAACGTCACCAACTCACAGACTGGCTCGCGGAAAGCCCTGCAGAACGCAACGCCTGGAAATGATACTCTACCATGGTGCTGCAAGCCAATCGCCACTCGGATGCTCGCTTCTGCAAGTAGCGCCGCCGAGTGAGAGAATGGTGAAGACAGAACGGTGTGCGCACGCACACAATGTGAACAATTCGAGGGGGCGGGTGAGGGGAGGTGGTCGGGCGCCAGCGGACAAACCGGTCGCGGACACCCGCAAACTCCCAGCCGAGGCCAGCTTCGTTGCAAGGATAGAAAATAATCTTCGCTAGTCACACCCTCCTTTGTAGTGGCAACAGCTGTGTGTCGAAATCCAGTCTGGTAGAGTCTGAGTAAATCTTCTGAGGGACCACCACCCCACGCACCACACTCCGTCGCATCCACCGCCCCTCCCTGCCGAGTCTCCCGGGGCGGCCCGACAATTTGTTGGGGATCTCTGACGCGTCGTAATGTCCAACATGGCCTCCAAGAAGGCACAGGCATGCCACCAATGCCGCTGAGATGATGCCCCACCAAACCTCAACTGCGGCCAAACGTAGACCCCAGACGGGGTCCAAGATCGCCTCAAGACAGCCCAAAAGGCCCTCCAGACAGCGCAAGAAGGCTCGGACTTACAGGAGAGCCCGAAAAAACAATCATCCTTAATTTCTCTGGTTTTGTAAAAGGCTGCGCTGGCACGGTGTGGGACTCGCCTCAGGCAGCTGGATGAAACTTCTGATCCTCTACGCTCGGTGCACCCACCACTGTCGAAGGCGAGCCAATCGCTCCTATGCGGGGTGCGAGCTGCAAATCTGCCGGGAAGGCGCATAGCGCCACTCAGGCCTTGGGGCCGTCGGCTCGAAGGGCTCCACTGTGATGCGTTCGCCGGCTACCATATGCTGCTTTCCGTCCCACATGGCCCGGTCAGTGCACTCAGCGTCGGCCATGACGACAAAACCTATGGCTCCAGGCCGATCCCGAGTCCCAGCCCCCGCTGCCTTCGGCGGCTCAGAGATGGGGCCCTAAGTGATGAGGTCCTGGGGACGAGCGGCCTGAAACACGAAAGGTTCAGCTCGGGACCTCTTCCGTGTCCTGAATGCCTCCTCTCAGAGCAGGACAAGTTGAGACAAAACAATAACAAATCGGTCCTCGAATCATTTCCGAGCTGTGCCCACCCGTGCCGACGAGGGCCCCCCCGAAGGCCCAGTAATTAGCGTTGTCTCAACTCGCCCTCTTCTGACCATTTCTCAGGGCCCCATCGTTGAATCGCCAATGCCTGACTTCGGCAGCGGAACAGCTTGGCCTGCCGGCGCGGGACCAGCACCTCGTGCACCCGCCCGAACTTTGAGAAGTGCGACGCGAGCAAGCTGCCCGACTGGTAGCCCAGCTTGTAGATGCGCCGCACGACCAGCACCCGCCGGGGGTCCACCCCGCCCAGCGCCCGGAGGTGCTCCCCGACCGTGGCGTGCTCCTGGGGCGAGCTGCCCCCGGCGGGTCCAGCGCCCCGGGCGGCGCAACCCGGGGCCTGCCGGAAGGGGCTCGATGTATACACCACGTCGCCACGTCGTCCTGTCGGCCAAGGAACGCGGTGTAGGTCACACCTCAGAACCTCGAGCCGTGCGATACTGGAGCGTGCACACACCGAGATCCTGTGCCCAACTCCCTGGCTCCCGGGCCGACCAAGAGACGTGGTTGATTCCGAGAGGAACACGCAACGGCATAAACATACACTTTCGAAGGCCCGCGCGGATGTCTTGGATGTGCGCTCAAAGAGAAACAGAAACCGCCGCCACCGAGAACCCACAGAACCTGGGCGGTGGCACGCCTGAGCGTCATCAACTATTGGGTGACGCTCGGGAGTTCCACCGCCCAGAGGTTGCCCCCCCCACCCCCCCGATGGCCTCTCGGTGGCGTTGGTAACTGTGCCTCCTCTGATGCGCGAGGAGGCGCCGCCAGAGGCCCCCAATGCCGATCCAAGAAATCGGCTCGATACGGAAATCCAACACTGTTGGGTGAAGTTATGCCGTGCTTCCCTCGTCGAAATCATCGACAGCGAAACAGCTTCGCCTGCGCGGGAACAAACAAATACTGATACAACTACTCCCCAGACCTCTCCCGGGGTGGGTTCCGACCAGAATTACGAGGCGAATCCAGCCGTGGCGACGAGGGCCTCCCACGAGGCCCCAGAACGGCGAGAACGAGGGTAGCGGTAGCAGTATCAGTACCTGGCCTCCCCGGAGGTCCTAGGGTAGCGGTATCAGTACCTGTCCTCCCCATGCTGTTCCTCGAACCCCTCTGGACCTGCTGTCCCTCCGCCGCGGCCGCGCTGGCCTCCCCGTCCTGCCCCTCCGCGTCCTGCCCCTCCGCGCCCGGTCCGCGGCACAGGCCCGGGTCAGACAGAGCGCGCGGGCTGTCGGGTGGGCGGCTGTCGTCGCTGTCGTCCACCTCGAGGAAAGTGTTCTTGAGGCGCACGCGGCGCCGCGTGGACTCGCCGGCCAGCGGGCCCAGGCCCGGTCCAGGCGCTTGGTGCACGCTGCCTGACTGGGCAATGCGCCCAGGCATGGGCTGCGCAAATAAAGGGCGGGGTGACGCCCTGGACAACGCTAACGAGCGGTTCGCGAGAACCGCGGGTGAGCCCTTGATGAGCTCTTCAGGCCCTTGATGAGCCTCGTGGAAGTCACGCCCTGCAAAATTCTAGCACTTGCTGAGCGCGCCGTTGCTCGGCGCGCGCCAAAGCCAGAGGCTACGGACCCAGAAGTAACCTTTTGCCGTAGCTGAAAGGCACAATTTGTTGAACCATCACGACTGGAGCTGCTGGTCCAACCTTCATGCGAAACGTCTCCATATGGATCCGTCCGAGATGGTCCCCTGGCCCGAGATAAAACGAAACACGCCCGTCGTGATCTTGTCGCGTCAGCCAGGATGCCAGGGCGATCGCGAGACCCCTCAACTCCTTTCCAACGTGATTTCATCTGGCTCCAGCCAGCTTGCAACTCGTGATGCTGGCGAAACGCACCGAATCGAATCGGATCGGAGTCCGCCCTGGCCGTCCCCAACACTTGACGTGAGGCGGCAGGCCTCTTTCGGTCCCGGCGCTTTTCGTAAATGTCTGGTGCTGCGTTGGCACTTCTGGAGCGCTTCCTTGTGCCACTGAGTCCTCGCCGTGCCGTCCTCTCCGGGTCCAAAGCCTGCGGACGTGCTCCGCTCGCCGTCGCTTGGACGTCCATTCCCCAAGCATGTTTCGGTTTCGTGCGGGTTGTTCTGGCTTGCCGAAAAAATGCGCACGTCCGAGCGATGCCGAGTCCGTGTCTCAACACGAGGGCGACATGTGGGTCCGGGTCATCCTCGCTGTGGGCCGTGGAGTGCACGTGCGACTAAACACTCCAGGGGGCACATGCTAGAGATGTCGCACACGGCTGGTTCCAGAAACCACAACTCCGCCACCGTGTCCCCTGGAACGCTGGGGCGTGCTAGAATGCCAAGTGCTGTCTGGAAGGGTGTCTGCAATCTTTTCGGGGCGGCACCGCCTCCCCCCTACCCTCTACCGGCAATGGGCCGCGCGCATCGTCCCCTATCCCGAGGCCACAAAGTGTCGCAACATAAAACAAGTTCGCGCCCGCGAGGCCCAGACATCTCCAAGACGGCCCTATCTGGCTCCGAGACGGTCCACATTGGCCCCAACACGGCCCAATATGGTTTCAAGACAGCCAAAAAGGCCCTCGTGACGTCCCACGAGGCACCCAATAGCCTGCCCAAGAGGGTCTCGAGAGGCAAACATACATGATGTCCTTCAGGTGCTTCAATGTTATGGAATTCTCCAAGGCGGCCCAAGAGGCACCCAAGACTGCCCAAGAGGGCCCCAAGACGGCCTCAAGGGGGGCCCAAGAGGGGCAACACGAGTCAACAATTCGAGCCTTTCGCCAACAGAGGCTCCCAGAAGACCTCACGAGGGCCAAAAGAGGTCGTTACCCAAGAGGCAACCATAGATCGTTTTCCTGAGGTTGCTCAATGGTGTCGGATCCTTGCTTTGTCGAGCGTCCGACTCCCTTAGGGCCTCATGGGCCCTCAAGAAGGCCCCTTGACCGTCAAGGCGAAATGTGACGCATGTGACGGTATTCCGCTTCCTCCCCTTCCTCCTGCTCCTCCTCCTCCTCCTCCTCCTCCTGCTGCGCATCCTCCTCCTCCTCCTACTCCTCCTCCGCATCCCCCTCCTCCTACTCCTCCTCCGCATCCTCCTCCTCCTCCTCCCTCCTCCTCCTCCTCCTCCTCCTCCTCATCATCATCATCCCCATCCTTATCCTCCTCCTCCTCCTCCTCCTCATCCTTTGCACCATCACCATCACAAGCAGCATCATCACAAGCATCAGCATCATCATCATCATCATCATCATCAGCAGCAGCAGCATCATCATCATCATCGTCGTCGTCATCATCATCATCATAATCATCATCATCATATTCATCTTCATGTTCTTAATCATCATCATCATCATCATCAACATCATCATAATCGTCATCATCATAATCGTCATCATCATCATCTCCACCACCATCATCATCAGCATTATCGTCAGCAACAACATCAGCATCAGCAGCATCATCATCAGCATCATCATCATCAGCAACAGCATCACCATCATCATCAGCATCACGAGCATCACCAGCACGGTCACCGTCACTATCTCCTTTCCCATCCTACTCATCATTCACATCATACCCATCATCATCATCAACAGCATCACCAGCACCATCACCATCACCATCATCTGCATCATCGTCATCTGCATCATCATCTTCGTCATCATCACCGTCGTCAGTATCATGCTCAGCATCAGAACAATCCTCAGCATAGTCACCATCACCACCACAATCATCATCAGCAACATCATCAACATCGTCGTCATCACCATCATCACTCTCCTCACATTCATCATCACCACCACTGGCATCACCATCCCCACCACCACCGCCACCACCACCACCACCATCATCATCATCATCATCATGAGTACCGGTATCATTACCAGTGCCAGCTTCAACATCATATTCATCTTCAGCATCATAATCACCATAACCACCAACAACACCGTCATCAGCATCATCACCACCATAATAATCATATAGTTCTTATTAATGATGATACCATCATCACCATCATCATGATCATCGTCGACGTCATCGTCATTGTCATCATCATCAACAACATCGCCATCCTCCTCAGTTGCGTCAGTTATCATCAAGAACATCATCATTATCATCATCAGCATCACCATGAAAAACATCAACTTCTCCATCATCATAATGGTTTTCCCTAACCTGCGAACACGAGGTGCCACATAAGAGCTGGGGTAAAAGCCTACCGTGCCCAACTCAAACAGTCGCCACCAAAAATGCTGGGCTGGCACGGTGATGAGACTTGCCCGATGCAGCTGGATATTATCATCTCGTGGGGGAGCCTCGTTTCGTACGTTTCCGCCGCCTTCCGCGGGCCTTCCGCCGAGGAAGACCTGGCAGCCCCTCCGATCCTCGAAGGCGAGGCTCTTCCTGTATTGCCTCACGTCCGCTTCGCATGCGGGAGACCCGAGGCTCAAGCCCCGAGGCGCCAGCATACCTGCTGGAGAGAGCTGCTGTTGCATCCACCGCTGCCTCTCCGGGGCCTGAGCCTGACGCAGGCCCGTGGGGACCAGGGCTGAACCTGAACGTTGCTTTTCCTTTCGATTTCGTTACATTTGTCCGTTTGCTCTGCCTCCTTTCCTGTACATCCCTGCCAAAACGACAGACAACACACAGCCGAAGTCCAGCAAACCAGCAGCCCTGGTTGGAAGGTCGAAACTTCCTCGGGCGCTCGTTGGTGCGGGCAGGCGTGCCACAGCCCTCGCAGCGGCGGGAGAGAGCGACAGGGGCAGGGGGTATCGTCGGCGGCCCGCGAGGTCAAGAGGCAAAGCCGAAGAAGCCCGCCGCAATCGCCGACTGCTTACACGCTGCACACCCAGCCCACCGCAAGCACCGATCTCGCGTCAAAGCGACGAGGTGGATCGCTGGCGGGTCGCGGGTGGGTCGCGGGAGGGTCACGGGAGCGTCGCAGGTGGGCAGGTCGCAAGTGGGTCGCGAGCGGGGACGATGACGACGATAACAAGGCAACAACAATCATCGTTACCGCGGATGCCACTTCAGGTACGCATTCAGGATGGTGTGACACCGTTCGGCCCACTAACTCTGACCTGCACGTAGTCCTTCGCAGAGACTAGGGACGTGGGACGGGAGACTAAAATCCGAGCTGTGCTCCACCGCCTCCAACTTCTGCTCTCGTCATCCCTGGCCACGTATCCCCCCCCCCACCCCCGTCGCCCTCGCCACCTTCGTCCCCCGCACCCATCCCTGGCCACTCCCCCATCCCCACCTTCTCCTGGGGGACCGTCATTCCTGTCTCCTTCCCACACGTCCCACCCTCCCCCCTCCCGTCAAATTCCATGTCACAGAACATCGAGCGTGCAGGTTTGTTTTTTTTGAAGACGACTTCCTAAATGGCCTGCTAAGCTGAAGGCGCCTGCTGACGCTGCTGTCATGTGCCCGCCTGCGGATGACAAACAAATGCACGAGCAATGCGTTGAGTGGCCGTCTTGTAAGCACTCCTGGTAGCCTGGCCAATGCACCCGGGTGGGTCAAGCAAACACTGGATACATATCCAACTGCACCCGGGCGCAAACATAACTACCGGCGATAACATGGCGTGCCACATGTCGACGATAACATGGCGTACTGGGGGGAACGTTGCGGGCGCGGCGCCGAAATAGTTTCCACAAATGGGGTAGTACGCGGGGGGGGGAGATGTGTCAGCAGGCAAAGAAGAAGCTCCGCGGCGCACGCCGTGGACAAAGCCGTCGCTTTCCTGAACTATTTTGGCTGGGCCTCGGCGAGATGGTCACACCACGCTGTGCATTTCCAGTCGTCCCTGCGCACGTCGACCGAGGGAGGACAGGGCGCAAACGCAGGAAAGTGAGGAACAATGCAGGATAACATGAACAAACACGAGAGGTGGAACCGATTCGACCATGCTGGACCATGCCCACCAGCGCGGCACGATGGATGGAGGAAACATCGGGGGGAGGATGAATAATAGAGGGGTAGGAAGGATGAGGAAAGGGGAGGATGAGGGGGGGGGGGGGAATAGGCGACTGCGAAAGGAGGAGGACCACGCTGCAGGATGATGAGGAGGAAGAAGAGGGGGAGGCCACCTATATCGACGTAGCGAAGCCCCGCCAGCGAAGCACGCCATGGGTGGGGGGGGACACGAGGGGGAGATCGTCGAGAAAAGAGGCACGAAAGGAAAAAAAAGCAAACACGCAAGTCCTCGGCAGCCGATTTCTGTTGCTTTCTGGCACACCTCTGTTGGGTGAGAGCCAACGCCACGACACATCCTGCTGGTGCAATCAATGCGCTAGTCGGGCAAGCCTCAGGGGCTTCAAAGCCCGCTTGAACACGAAGGCGCACCGCACTTCACTCAACGCGCGCAAAGTTGAGGCCTAAAACGCTTGGGCCCATCACCTCAAACTCAGGTTTGGCGGGCACGGGGGGAGGCACGCAGGGAACGCAAGGCCTCGGGAAAACTCAGAAACAGCGCGCGCGGACGTCCCTTCGGATCGTCCTGCAGTTTGCTGTACGCGCGCCCCCGTGCTACTACGTCGGCTCCTCTCGTTTCATCTCCTCACTCTCCCCTCATATCCTCACTCCCCTCTCACGTGGCGCCGCGGCCAAGAGAAATCGTCATGTCCCCGCTTGGGGTGGTGGGGCACCGCCATGGCAGTTCCCACGCTGCCTGAGCGCAATCAAGCGACATATTGCAAGCGAGGCTCGCCCGCAG